TAATACATAATTGATGAGCCTCTAATGACAGCATTTTGAAGAAAGATAGAAAGATACAGAGCAGAACGAAAGCCAGCATCAGCATAAAAGTTGAATGAATGGATAAAAAAGCTCCATTTGTAGCCCCACACTGCCCCCTGCAGGCCTATAGCTTCTCTACAGCCTTTTTAAACTGCGCATCATGCAGTATTTGATGTGGCAGAATGGATGCACTTGTCATCACGTTTTAAATATGGAAAGGTGCTGATATAACAAAGCCAGAAGAAAAGCTGAGAAGCTGTAACAGAGACAGATCAGCTGGTATTCTCGTGATGGTTGAGTACAGTAAGGAGAAATGACAACAGTAAAAAGGCAGTGTCACCCTCTCACTCTGAAAACTGTCAACGATCCTGATTTTAGGGAGCTAAAAACATCAGTGACGTTTATAAATGGCTGACACATTTATATAAGTCAGTCAGAGTGGTTTGTTTGAAAAATGTACTTTAGAGTCAGAATTGTTCACACTGGTGGTGAACAGAACCAGACGTCTAAAGAGTTAAATGCCTTTAAAAGCTCCCTCACAGAATATTATAAATTTAAAATATATATTAAATATTCTTAAAAAAAACATACAGGGGTGCAGAGGTACATGCAGGGCATTACAGCGTAAAATAGTTCACTACTTTACCTTTACAAGCATCAACATTACATATAAAAACTCAAGCCATAAACATTTGTTAATATTCAATAAACACGATAATTTAAATATCTGGTGAACAAAAAAAGCCAAACGTCCAACACGTTTACCACTTTTACGAACCCACAAACTTCTGTGGGATAAAAAATATTAATCAAGCCAAATACTACAGTCCTAAAAAAGATGGTTATTCAAGGGTTCTTTAGTAGGGAAAATGAGTCTACAAAGAATCATGAACACTCAAAGGACCCTTTGCATGATTAAAGGGTCCTTTCTTCTTCATGTGCTATAGATAGTTCTATGTAGAACCTTTTTAAAAAGGGTTCTATATAGCACCCAAAAGTGTTCTTCTATTGTAAGGATGTCAAGTTTGTCACAATAGAAGAACCATATTGGGTGCTATATAGAACCCTTTTCAAAAAGGTTCCATATAGAATCATCTACAGCACATTCCCCATCAATCTGAAGAATGCTTTCATGACGCAAAGAACCCTTTAATCATGCAAAGCGTTCCTTGAGCGTTCATGATTCTTTATGCAACCACTTTCCTCACTAAAGAACCCTTGAAGAACCATCTATTTTAAGAGTGCAGGTCGACATGAGTAGCACACAGGTGCCAGCTTCACACACAGGACTAATAGGAGATTCTCCCAATACATGTGATCACAATACCTTAAAATAATTGATAATTGCTGGTAATTATGACAAAAACAACAATAATAAAAGCAACAATAAGCCAGTAAATAACAAGGAGATAAATAAGTTTTTTTTCTATTTAGTTATTAAAGTGAGCTTCTGTCAATCTATAGAACACTCAAAAACTTAAGTATTCAATAGACAGCTTTACTCTTACTGTTGGTTCACTGGTCATTTTGGATAGTAAATAAAATGACTATATTTGTCTTGTAGACATCATGCATCCCATCAGTACCACTGCAAGAAACCTGGCTTTCTCTAGAATTAGCCATTTCACAGAAAACCCACGCTGAAAGACAATTAAGCAGAATTTTTTTCAAAGGTTCCTTCAAACAGTGCTTTTCTGACTGATATGACCGCCAGTGCTCAGTGGTCACACTTCTTATACTCAAATCAACAGCAGAAAGTCTTAAAAAAGCCTTATAACTTTATCTTAAAATCGCCAACGGCAATAAATTCACAGAACCTTAATATCAGCCGATTGCATGTATTGCCCCACACACACACACACACACTTACTGTGGGTCTCCAGCGTAGCTGAGCTGAGCAGGTCGGATGCCAAAGTGTACAATGATTGGGAAAGTGATGACATTAGGGTTAAACTGCTCACGATCCAACTGGTCGATCCGTACCGAGCTGGGTTTCTGTTTACAACACACACACACACACACACACACACACACACACACACACACACACACACACATCGGTAAAGGTGTAAATCTCGGACGTCACAGTGATTTAGTACACAATTTAAAGTTTCATTGCACTTGAAAAAGTATGTAAAAACTAGCTAGCTAACTGCTTGGTCATGCTCCTGAAACTGAGGTCACACAAGCTCCAGTTATGAGTCAGACAGTCCTATTTGTGGAAACTGTGAAGAACTTTCTTGTGTACCTTAGAATGCACCACGTCAGTAAAGTACAAATGTGGTGTAAACACTGTTGGCCTTGATTTTAGGAGGGGTAGCTAACTGACCACTAAGCTAACATACCATTTTACTCCTAAATTTAAGATGAACCACTAGCTATCACGCTCATAAATGAAGTTAATCACTTATTGCAGGATCATGTAACAGTGTAATAAACCTTCATAACAAGCACCGTTACAAAATTAGAAAAGCTGAAATTAGCTACTTGTTGGGAGTTTTGTTTGGGACTCGGAGCGGCAAGAGATCAGTCACTTTATGCGAGGGAGAGGAAGGTGAGTAGCTGATGTCTAAATACTGCCTTTTCTGATTTGTACTATGGCAGATCCTGCACAACATTTAGACCCACCAACTACAGAAAAAGTAATTTCAGGAATCTTTTAACTGAAAAGATCAACACTATTCTTTCTCTGGCAGTTCATAGTATAAACATAACTAAAAGTACAGATAATAATCTTCGATGCCAACCATTCTCTGTTGTCGTTGTTGGATTTCATGGCTTGTCCTATAGCCTACACACTATAATCATAAGAATTTTTGTTCTTGTGTATCAGTAATAAAACAATCATTTTTACATTTGAAATTACCCCAAAAATTGAAGTGAGCATGAGTGAAATCATTTGTGCCTAACGTGTGTGCCTGTTCGTATTACCATGCCAGGATTGGTGACAATCATGCCCTTGCACTCCTCAGCATATTTCTGCCATTCTAGCTCCTCCCACTGTAGCATGTTAGCAATTTCCTCTTCAGGAACCAGAGGCTTATTACTGCGTAATAAATACAGCAGCACCTGGTGCATAGACAGCACCTCTTTACCTCCATCTGAAACACACCGACACATGAAATGACATCAGTCAGGTTAAGTCCAGTTTAAAACAGACCTGGGACTTCTACCAGTTTCTTCCTAATAAACATCAGCACTTTTCTGTTCTGAGTGGCACAGCCGTCTAAGAGTTGGCCCAACTGTCGTGAGTTGATCCCCAGCGATCCATCCATGGAAATCCAACTGCCCTCACTTTCTCAGGGTGGGGAGGGTTTTTCTTTCTTTCTCCTTTTTAATTAGCAGTTTGAAAAGATGCGGCAATACTTCACATATCTCAGAGGAAGCACCCCCCCCCGGTAACGTCTAAATACATATATTGTACCATTTACACAAGCAGGGCACTCGCTAATAAAAGCAGAACAGTTCGTGCAAAACAGTTACATGCTAAAGTCTGCGATTAAGCTCTTATCACACTGATTAGCTCAAATCAGATCTCAGGACCAACACAAAAATGGGTTCAACAGGCTTTAAAAACAGAAACTGTCAAAATTAAATACAAACATAACTTATACAATAAACAAATGTCATTTTTATAAAAACAGTAAATTAATTTTAACAAAACTATTTAAATGAAACAAAGCATGCTGTCCTGATACCTGACAAACATAAGCATCAGTTATGACAGTCTGACTGACCTGGGAGGAAGCGGACAAATCGAGGCATGAAGTGAAACCTCTGGCAGCCGGGTGGGTCACTTTGCTCTGGACCTAAATGGGGGAAAGGCGCTTGAGTGCGTGAGGGAATAAAGTGGAGCATTCTGGGTGATCTCTAAAAATCTACATTAAAATACTGTAACAATTTTAATTTGTTAAAATATCTTTCGCCTCTAAAGTTTTGGCTGCGTCTCGGTTTTACAAGCCCCGCCTCTTTACTATGCTGTGTAATTTGGAGCTGTACAGGTCAGAGAGGGACAGAACCTGGCACGGTGTCGGCTTACTTGTGAGGTTCCAGTCGTACAGCTCGAGGATGTCCTGAAACAGATACGAGGCAAAAAGCTCCAGCCCCTTCACACAGTAATTCTGAAAAAGAGCAACACACACACACACACACACACACACACACACACACAGGCAATTAAAGACGTGAGAATACAGTTCTTTCCTATTAAACATAAAACACTTATCTGTCTAAGAATCAGCCCGACTCTCAGGAAATTGTGAGTCAATCTCAGCGATGCCACAGCAAACATTCCTTCGACTTACGTTTTACATTTTCAAGTTCTAAACTGTACATTTAAAGATTATTTCTAGAGGAGAAAGCAGTAAAAGTAAAATGCATAAAAATGGTTTGAGAAAGGAAGAGAGAAAAACAAACAGAAAGAAAAAAACAACTTCAGGTGAGATGTTCAGTCTGAGACACTCAGCATGATAAAATGTTTCCCAACACAATCTAGCTAGACAAAAGGCATCAACAAAAGCAGAGAGAAAAAAATAAGAAAGGAATTAAAAGGAAGATCAGCAGCGCTAAGGAGAAAATACTGACCTCAGGTGACATTTCCTCTATGAAGTGAATGGTGTAATCAATGTTGAAGCGAATTACTCTGCACAAAGGAATCTGAGAGAGACAGAGAGAGAGGAGTAGAGTGAGTGAGAGAGAGAGAAAGAGAGAGAGAATGAATGCTGGTATAAATCCTGTTCATCCTCACCTAATTCTAGACATTGTAGCACACAACTCAGTTTATAAAATTAAGATTAAGATTAAGTGACCCTTATTAGTCCCACAATGGGGAACTTTCACCTCTGCAGTCTAACCCATCCATGCAGTGAAACACCACATACACACTAGTGAAGACATAGCGGCTCATCAGATCAAACCAGTGACCTTCTGGTCACAAGACTGGTTCACCAACCTCCAGCCCACGACTGGCCATCAAACCCTGATAGGGAGCGGTGGGATTCGAACCCACGCCTCCACAGAGACTGGAGCCTAAATCCAGCGCCTTAGACCACTCGGCCACACTACCTCGTAGTAGTTATAACATTAACAGGGTTAACATGGTGGCATATTCATTGTTGTTTTCAACTGGAAATGCAGAGCCTTTAAAGATCCACACCACTCAACTGGAAAAAGATTGGAAGATTATTTATCCGATTAGCAACACTTGGACAATCAGGACAATCCTGCTAATGTCTGCTAGCACCTCGTTAGGATTCTGGGATGTTATGTTAGTTCCAAGCTAATAGTAGTGCACATTCACTGTCCCACACTGCGCTTAGTAGCGCTTATGGTAGCTACAGCTTAAAAACTGAAGAAAGAGAACCGAAGATTGTAACAGACTTTAATTATACATTTCCTAGCATTTGAGAGATCCTGCTGGTGTGGGTTTCCTCCTTTTCAATGATGCACACAAAGCTTACTTGGGTGCAAATAGGCTGCCCTTGTGGATTTTTTTATCATCGCTGTTGAAAAACAAAACTGTGTATAGCAACTTTACAGTAGAAAAAAGAAATAAAAAAAATTACTTAACTTTCTGTGTAAGGTAACGTAAAAAAAGATTTTATTCTAAATCATTTTGGGTCATTCCTATTGGTCTGTCATAAAATTTTGACACAATGTAAGTGGCAGCTGGCATTTTCAAATTAAGCCCAAAAAATAAAAAAGGAAAACAGCAAAAAATAGAGATACAAGTGTTTTTTTTGTACCCCCAACAGCAACGATGCCATAGTAACAGAATGAAAAGGATAATCAAAATACTCAATTATTATTGCTAATTAATTGCTGAATAATGTATTAATTACAATAATTTATTAAGTTATTACTGGTGTTTGACAAAAAAAGTTGCCTGCTGCAGTTTTGTAGTAGCCGTCATTTTTTTCATCCAATGCAGCAACAGAAGCTACCAAAAAAACACATTTGTGGGCAGAGCATGGACAGATCAACTGATTTCTCAATACTGTTTCCACCACTGGCATAATATGCAAACTGTGCAATGTTTATGCTGAATGGCATGTAAGTTATTCAGAAGCTTACATTAGTGAGAGGAGTGTGGGAGAAGAGAGAAAATCCTTCAAACAGGTACTCATGATCGTCATACTCGATCACCGTGGGCCGGTCAGTCTGAGTAAAACACACAGAGGAGATATCAATACGTTTGTTAAGTACAGCATTAGGAAATGATCACAAATACAGAGAAAAGAAAAGAAAAAACAAAGAAAGGCCAAATAAAGGTCACAGATTTCAGGCCGTAGATATTTGAAGCCTCTCTGGGTGTTTCTACTCAGTTTGGCTCCCAGTGTTTGCACTTTGAGTAAGCTGCTTTAGAAAAGAGTGTCTGCTAAATATTGAAATGAAAAATGTTATCTAAACAAAAGAAAGGCTGGATTAGGAAATCAGGGACCTACCAGGAAGTTGGTGGGAGGAGACACCGTGATTCTGTAGTGGAAAAGTTTTCCAGCGTTGTTATTCATTGGGCGACATTGCTTCACTGGCTGAGAGACAAAAGACAATAATACTGTAAATCTTTCTGATTTCAGGGTCTCTGCAGTTTCGTCTAGGCAGTTTAAAAAAAGCTTCTCGAAAAAAAACAATCAAAACTTTGCAAAAAGTATTACAAAACACAACGAAACTCATGCACATGAGAATAAGAGTAACCAAGCTCATAAATGTCTACTGACAAAACACTGAGGGGAAAAAAAAAAAAAAATTCATTTCAATTAGCTGATTAGTACAGTAAAGTAACCTGAGCATTACCTCTTCTCCGGGGTAGATACTGTGACGGATTCCTGTTCTCCGAGCTTTAGCACTGCACTTACACAAAGGACCATCATTCATCTGCAGAATAAACACATTAGGCTGTCCAAACTGCTAATTTTAAGCTGCGTAAAGTATCATATCACATCATATCTGCATGCCCGTTTTCTACAAAACTATGTTTTCAATCTTCAACAAACTCTCAAAAAACCTAACAGCAAATTTAACAAAGAAATTCCAAATTAAAATACCAAAACGCAATCTGACCTCGATTATAATTATTCAGGAAAGATTTAATTAAAGAATGAAATCGCAAATTTCTCCACAATTCAGTTTGATTTAATTACGTTAGTATGATTTCAAATTCTTTCAAAAAATACACCAAATACACAAATGTAACTGGATGAAATTTGTACACAGTAGTTCAACGCAAAAAGTAAGCTGTGTTATTTTTGCATTTAAAAATGGTTGCAATATTTTATTCTGGACAAAGATCGAGCACTAACTACACCTGATACCAACATTCCAGAATGCACTACACCTAACATAATTGAGTCTGACCTGTCCGGGGTCGTTGTACCACAGTTCGTCGTGAAGACGGTCAGGATGGGCCTTCTTCCGCTTTATCTCAGCGATGACATCAAACATCTCAGAGTCTGAGCTACTGGAACAGCTGCTGTCTCCGTCAGAATCACACTCAGACTCACTTGAGCTTTCATCTACAACACAAACGCGAGCACAGACAGATAGATAAAGCTGTTTCATGGATAGTAAGAATTCTGCCAAGGCCACAAATAAAGAATGGAACAGATGTTAGGAGCGTCTGGTTGTGTATTGGACCAATGGATTGCACTGTGCAGAAGCCACATAAATAAAGAGCTCTTCTGTACACAGTTATAATGTATGTGCTTTTGACAAAATAAAGGGAATATTATGAAATAAAGAGTGATAATAGTTCTTAATGTAGTACGTTTCTGTGTAAAGAACAGACATGCTGCTGCTATCATTAACATGTGTATAATGGACTACAGAACTAATAATGCCATGAAACTCCACCTTCTGTTCCCAGACAGATGTAAAGTCTTAGAAACAGATTCCACACTAAGTGGGTTTTTACACATTCCAAGCTGATTAAACACTTAGATTATTATATGATCTTAAATAGCAATATCACAGAGAGACACTTTACCAAGAATATTTCCATGATTTCTGATCATCTGCTGTTTGCATTCACCTTTTGGGGAAGTCATGTGCTTATTGCACATTTCTTGTGAAGCCTCCTGATCTGCACTGATGCATGAAAAGTTTGATGAAATATGGAAAGTTTGAAAAGTTAAAAATGTATGAAAAGTTTGATTATCATTATTACTTACAACACCTTATTTATGCATGAATTTACAGCCATTGAGAACTTTCTTAAGTCCACCTCTTTGGATCTACACTCATTGTCCATTTGATCAGGTCCACTTACCATATAGGAGCACTTTGTAGATCTACCATTACAGACTGTAGTCCATCTGTTTCTCTGCATACTCTGTTTGCCCCCTTTTACCCTGTTCTTCAATGGTCAGGACCACCACAGAACAAGTATTATTAGGGTGGTAGATCATTCTCAGTATAGCAGTAACACTGACGTGGTGGTGGTGTTAGTGTGTGTTGTGCTGGTACGAGTGGATCAGACACAGAGATGGGCTTCAGTTCTCACAAGAGAAAAATGTCCAGGAAGAGTTTAAAACATATGATTCAGAAATTGAGCAGCTGTTGGCCATTCACACTAAAGACGTCACATCCTGTGCACCAAGACTTTTGTGACAAAGCGCGCGTGCCAGTAAAATTACCTGTGAATATATACCAAGTGAAGTACTGGGTTTTAAGTGTGAAAGCACTACATTAGTAAAGCCTGTCTTTGTGTGGCTTTAGCTGAAAAACAGTAATTATTCTCAGATAGGAGCAATAGGGAATATAATGATATTTCATCGTTATCATAATAAATTATGCCACTATATGCTTTTCTAAAGATATAGCAGATATCAGTCATCATCTTAAAGAACACTGACTAACTACGTTTCATTACAAAGAGAGTGCAATTAGTGCTGTAATGCAGATTGTAAAACACTGAATAAAAATCACTGTAGTTTTTTAGTATTTTTATAAGTGGCATTATAGGTTCTATTTTGTCTGTTCTAAATTATTAAATGTGAGAAAAAACGAAATATCCTGATGCATTTTGTGTATTAATGTGCATGAATAATAATAATAATAATAATAATAATAATACTTTTTATTTATATAGCACTGTTCATGCAGGTGGCAGCTCAAAGTGCTTTACAGACCGGTGATAAAAAACAGTTACACAAGAAATTATAAGTATTATTTTGAATCATAAGAAAATGACAGATCAAAAGAAAAATACCACAAGGCGTAGAGTTTTAATTAAATGCTACATTAAAGAGATACGCTTGTAGATGCTTCTTAAAAGTGAACACTGAGCTTATCTAATAAAAGGTGGAATTGAGTTTCACAGTTTAGAATCAGAATAGCTGATGTTTTCTGTATTTAAGATCACATGCAGGAACAACTAAGTGATGTAAGCAGTGCTTTAAGGTCATTTAGAGCCTTAAAAACTAGTAGTAAAACTTTATAATCTATCCTGAATGACACAGGCAGCCAGTGCAGTTCTTTTAAAACGGGAGTGATGTTTTTGTTAGGATGTTGCTGCATTGTACGAATTGTAAACTAATTGTTTTCTTAGGAAGTCCAGTAAGAAGAGCATTACAGTGATCAACTCTGCTTATAACAAATGCATGAACAAGTTTCTCTGCGTCGCTCTGAGAGAGAGGAACGATGGAAAGCTACTTTAGTGACTGTGTTTACAGGTGGGATAAAAGAGCTCAGAGTCTAAAATCACACCCAGGTTTCATATTTCATGTCTTGAAGTATCGATATATGACAAAAATAGCATATCGCCCACCCTTATCTGATATGGACTAAAAATGCTGTGTTACAGACATTACGTGACTGCTTCCAGCTGTCTAATCTGATTGGATACTGTACCCTGATCCAAGTCCAGTTTGGTTTTGGGCGGCTCCCATTTGGGTCTGGAGGATTTGGCTCGTTCCTGCCTGCGGCCCAGCTCCTCCTCAAAACGCTCATACAGGTCCCTCAGCTTACTGGTGCCCACCACTGTAGAGTCACCCTGAGGGAGATGCAGATTATTACAAATACATGCCTCTGTTCTTATGAGCTTTGTGTGAAACATTCCATTTAGTTCGA